AATATTTTAACAGTAGAGCCGCGCGGCTATACGCTTTAAATAGAATATTTAAACGGTATAGCCGCGCGTCGATACTACTTGAATATTAAAAAAGTGTGGCTGTCTAATCCCTATAAATAGTATAGCCGTGCGGCTGTACCCATAGAAAGCACGCATGCCTCACACATCTTTCTTATATCAGACAGCTTCTTGTGGTTGTGGCAATAAGCCTAGTGACAGATTCTTTTAACTTCATCATTCCCAGAAGGACAATGATAAGATCAGAAAGTTTTGAATAAAACAGCATTGCCAGAGCAAAACATGCATATGGCTCACACCGAACCACCAACGACAGGAAAACAGAACACTACTGATACAAATTATTCCTCTTATCAAATAAGGCAATAGGAAAAGTTTTGAAGACGAAACAAGATGCCGCGGGCAAAAAGACAGATATCACAGTTGAATCACATAGCTAAACACACTGGATTCAATGTATAAATTTAGCAAAAACCCTATATAGTAGCTTTAACGAATTCAGATAAACATTTAAGAAGGGGGATCAGTGAGTGAACTCACAGCGTATTTGGATGCTCGGCACAGAGACTCCATTGTCCGCACGTCCCAAACACGACTTCACCAGAAACATTCAAAACATGGATTAGAATAAGGAAAGGAGATTAAGATATATGAGTATGGAAATCTGTTACACCACAAGTAATATTCAGCAAGTAATGTATTATGTAGGAACACTTACAGATCAAATATGGCTTTAAATATTGGCCAAAGTCTTTGGATTGCATCTGCCACAGCTTCTGCATGATTTACATATCTTGAATTGATATTTACTAGCATGTTTAGCGCATCTCAACAAAATAAAAAGAAATAAGGGGCATAACAACAAGATATTGATCATACGTACCCAAATAGATCAATGTGAACTGTTAAATCACGAGCAGGCTTGCTATTTAATGTGTCTGGGCCTTGGCTGACAACTTCCTGGTTGTTGACAGCATTAATTCAGTATCATCACCCACAGAAGAATTTATATGTACACTTTCTTCTGGAAATGAATTACACACCTGTAAAGGAGTAACGACGGGCAAGCACAACCCCTCCAAAGCCCTCTTAGCATGGTCAGGTGGAAGTTCAGTAATGACCTTGCTGCAGAAGAGAGTTCAGTAAATGTTCAGATCATCAACAACATGGTACTAGATTGATCACGCAACGTCAGAAGATGCAGAAGATATAGTTTACCTTAAGGCTTCAACTAGATGCAACGAGTCCTCAGCTGAACCATTCATGACAGATGAACTATAAGTACTAAAAATACATTACCTGTCTGAAGTACTTGAGGATGTTGAGGTAGTTTTAGAAGCCTATCCATAACCTGTTCAAATAAAATATAAAATTAAAAAAAATTAAAAAAAACCCAAAAAATGAGTATTATTAGATCATACCTTGGGAATTACTTCATTCTCAAATACTATATATCTTCTTTGAAAAGGATCACTCCTTCAAAGAAGATATATCAGTCCTTGAATATTTGAGACAGTGCTTTTCAAGCCTGAACATTACTAGTATTAAAGATTAGACATCTGAATTGCCAGAATTCCAATATCTACCATTAAGATTAGACATCTGCATTGCCAGAATGCCAGGTCAGTTCTAAGTTCTGACTATTGATCAACTCCTTGCAGGTATACCCTTTAAATAAAATATCACCCTTAAAATAGAATATTTAAACAGTATAGCCGAGCGGCTATACTCTATAAATAGAATATTTTGGACGTATAGCCGAGCTTAACAGTGTCGCCACTCGTCTATATACTTTGAATAGAAAATTTTTACGGTATAGCCGCGCGCCTACACTCTACAAATAGAATATTTTGATACCATTTGAATAGAAATTTGTGACCGTATAGCCGCCCGGCTGTACTCTATGAATAAATGTTTTTTGCAGTATAGCCGGGCGGCTATACTCTATAAATAGAAAGTTTTCACTGTATACCCGCGCGGCTAGACGCTATAAACAGAATATTTTTAAATTATAGATGGGCGGTTATACTTTGTAAATTTTTAACAGTATAGCCGGTCAGCTATACTCTTTAAATATAAGGTTTTAACGGTATAGCCGCTCGGCTAGACGATTTAAATTAGAAAACAGGCATGTCTCGCACATCTTTCTTGTGGTTGTGACAGATTAGTGCAATAGAAGAATGTCCAAATGGAATGTAATGTAGTATTTCATTGCTTCCCCCATTAAGTTGAAGTTCAGTTGTAGGACAATTATTAACCATTTTCCCATAAACAAATCTATATACTATAAATAGAATTATTTAAACGTATAGCCGAGCGGCTATACCTTATTATGATAAATGAGGAAATTAGTTCTCAAATCTGTTGATAGCCATTTTATTTATGTGACAAAAGGTATCATGGTATGAAAGAATCATTTCTTGGGAAAACCAGTAAGCTTTCCTTTGTTTGAAGAAGTAAATCATAATTTAGATGAACGGCTAGATAGAGCATGACTAACGAGCTCCCTCCTCAAGATCTTTCCTGCGGGAGATTTTGGAATGGAGTTGATAAATGATACATGTCGAATCTTCTTGTAGGGTGCAACCTTGATGCAGGAGCATAGGGGTGGATCAAGATAGATATTTATCATTTAATTAGTTATTTCATGATATATTGTTATTTTCTTATTTAGGTAGTTTTAGGATATCTTTTATTATTTATGTGTGATTTTATAATTAATTAGTTTACTTTTGAACCAAGCAGTCTTGGTGCCCAAGTCTTGTAAAGCCTATAAATAAGGCTATTGTAATAGTTGTAGAAAAAAGGGAATATTGATGATTGATGAAATAGTTTATTTGTGGCATGGATTTGCTACGATATATGTGAGTTTGCACTAGCCCTAGATTTCGGTGCTCGTGTATGTGGTTGGTGACCTGTGTCCTGATCCCGATCTCCATCAATTGGTATCAGAGCTATGGCTCAAGATCTGCTTTATTGGGGAGGTTTTTGGATGGAGGGTCGTATTGACAACTACAACGTCATTGAGGAAATTAGGAGGATGCTACAGCAACTTACGGAACGTGTCGCTCGCATCGAAGCTCGAACCCAGATATGTAAGAGTTCTGACGGGGAGAGATGCGTGAACCCTTATCTGAACCGAGTAGCTCGCATCGACACTCTAAGCCGTGGGAGTCTCAACGGGGAGTACGAGGGGGATAGCCCTTTTCATTATTGCGCTTCGCTGTGTGAGTCGAGTGAAGAGGGGCACGGTTATTCTCATTGTGTCTTTGAAGGTACAAATAGATTTGGTAATTTTGGTGCATCTTGTTATTCATCAAAGTTATTAAATTTGGATTTGCCTCCAATATTTGATCCTTGCAACTGTGAAAATTGCAATGAAAATTGTTTGGGTGTTCAAAGCAATTTTGATAAGCAATTTATTGATCAAAACAGTGAAGAGATGAGAATTGAGAAAACTTTCGAAGATATTATTGATTTTTTTGGCATTAATGTTTTCACTTGGAAGGTTGCCAAAACTTTGGTTGATTTTGTCAATCGGTTGAAGATTCTAGAGAGAAACATTTGCATTGTTAGAGGGAGTAAGAAGAAGCTAAGAATAACAAAATATTCCAAATATCTTTTTATTTGGAAAGGAAGGTTTCAATTGGATGCTAAAAGATCCAGAATTAATATGAAGCAATTGAAGATTCTACTTGGATTTTCCTCAATCAAAGGCTTGAATTCGAGGACGAATTCTTTCCAACCAGGGGAGTCTGATGCAGGAGCATAGGGGTGGATCAAGATAGATATTTATCATTTAATTAGTTATTTCATGATATATTGTTATTTTCTTATTTAGGTAGTTTTAGGATATCTTTTATTATTTATGTGTGATTTTATAATTAATTAGTTTACTTTTGGACCAAGCAGTCTTGGTGCCCAAGTCTTGTAAAGCCTATAAATAAGGCTATTGTAATAGTTGTAGAAAAAAGGGAATATTGATGATTAATGAAATAGTTTATTTGTGGCATGGATTTGCTACGATATATGTGAGTTTGCACTAGCCCTAGATTTCGGTGCTCGTGTATGTGGTTGGTGACCTGTGTCCTGATCCCGATCCCCATCATTGATCATCAACATCAACATCCCGATCCCCATCATTGCTCGTGTATGTGGTTGGGGATCGCGATCAAGACACAGGTCACCAACCACATACACGAGCACCGAAATCTAGGGCTAGTGCAAACTCACATATATCATAGCAAATCCATGCCACAAATAAAACTATTTCATTAATCATCAACATCAACTCCCCTACAACTATTACATTAGCCTTATTTATAGGCTTTACAAGACTTGGGCACCAAGATTGCTTGGTCCAAAAGTAAACTAATTAATTATAAAATCACACATAAGTAATAAAAGATATTCTAAAACTACATAAATAAGAAAATAACAATATATCAAGAAATAACTAATTAAATGGTAAATATCTATCTTGATCCACTCTTATGCTCCTGCATCAGACTCCCCTAGTTGGAAAGAATTCGTCCTCGAATTCAAGCCTTTGATTGAGGAAAATCCGAGTAGAATCTTCAATTGCTTCATATTAATTCTGGATATTTTAGCATCCAATTGAAACCTTCCTTACCAAATAAAAAGATATTTTGAATATTTCTTTATTCTTGGCTTCTTCTTACAACCTCTAACAATGCAAATGTTTCTCTCTAGAATCTTCAACCAATTGACAAAATCAACCAGAGTTTTGGCAACCTTCCAAGTGAAAACATTAAGGCCCATAAAATCAATAATATCTTCGAAAGTTTTCTCAATTCTCCTCTCTTCACTGTTCTGATCAATAAATAGCTTATCAAAATTGCTTTGAACACCCAAACAATTTTCATTGCAATTTTCACAGTTGCAAGGATCAAATATTGGAGGTAAATCCAAATTTAATAACTTTGATGAAGAACAAGATGCACCAAAATTACCAAAGCCATTTATACCTTCAAAGACACAATGAGAATAACCGTGCCCCTCTTCACTTGACTCACCCAGCGGAGCGCAATAATGAAAAGGGCTATCTCCTCGTACTCCCCGTCGAGACTCCCACGGCTTAGAGTGTCGATGCGAGCTACTCGGTTCAGATAAGGGTTCACGCATCTCTCCCCGTCAGAACTTTTACCTATCTGGGTTCGAGCTTCAATGCGAGCGAAGCGTTCCGTAAGTTGCCGTAGCATCCTCCTAATTTCCTCCATGTCGTTGTAGTTGTCAACACGACCCTCCATCCAAAAACCTCCCCGATAAAGCAGATCTTGAGCCATAGCTCTGATACCAATTGATGGGGATCGAGGTCAGGACACAGGTCACCAACCACATACACGAGCACTGAAATCTAGGGCTAATGCAAACTCACATATATCGTAGCAAATTCATGCCACAAATAAAATTATTTCATTAATCATCAACATCAACTCCCCTACAACTATTACATTAGCCTTATTTATAGGCTTTACAAGACTTGGGCACCAAGATTGCTTGGTCCAAAAGTAAATTAATTAATTATAAAATCATACATAAGTAATAAAAGATATTCTAAAACTACCTAAATAAGAAAATAACAATATATCAAGAAATAACTAATTAAATGGTAAATATCTATCTTGATCCACCCCTATGCTCCTGCATCAAACCTGCAATAAGAAACCAACTTCAATGTGATGGCCTGTAACATACAACTTCAAGAGAACTGGAACTTTGGGAAGTATGGATGTTAATTATGAAAAGAATCAATTGGATTTTTTACAAGTATTCAGAATCAGGAGCATACTTGTTTTGCAACAAAATCCATAACTGCAGCCTCATTGATATTGCTTCCAGGCTTTCTAACTACATAGGCCATGGGAATCTGCCCTGCTTCTTCATCAGGATACCTGCTTTAGAAACGCCAACGGGCAGAAATCAGAACTAGTATACCTTGAGGAGGTAAACAGATAAATGAAATATACTGCAAATTCTTTCAGAAACTATGATCTTCTACCATGTAACCATGACACTAACTATGCAAGAAAGTGGAGGCAAAAGACCAGATTTCTCATAAAGGCAAACTTATCGGCAAAATATCCGTCAAAATTTTCTTCAATGATCTCATAAGTTCTTGAATTTCTTTTTTCTTTTTTTGTTTTTCTATGGACCAGTTTCTTTTCCCAGTTAAATACTTCTAAAAAATTTCAAAATTGACAAATAAGAGATTAAAGTCGTCAATTGATAGATTGATGCCATAGAGCGTGGAAAGAAACTAGCTTTTCACAAACAAAGAATGTCATAGTACTAGATACATACGGAATCACAGCGGCATCGGCAATGTCGGGATGGGATTCAAGTATAGGTTCCAACTCAGCTTGGGGTACCTGCAATTTGTTCCAGACATAGGGAGACCAAACAACACATTACTCAAATAGACTGATCAAATACTTATACAACCATCTTTGTTATGAGTTTAACCCTCAAAGGATCTCTCTTGCAGTCACTTGATAGGCCTTGTACTTGATCAATTCCTTTAACCGGTCAACAATGTAGAGGAATCCCTCATCATCAAAGAAACAAAGATCACCTGTCTTCAACCACCCGTCTGAGTCCAAGGTCTCAGCAGCTGCCTTGTTAACGGTATAGAAAAGAATATTTTAAAAGTATATACTCAGTGAATAGAACATTTTACCAGTATAGCCGAACGGCTATACTCAGTAAATAGAACATTTTAACAGTATAGCCGCGCGGCTATACGTTTAAAATATACACGAACATTTAAAGAGTATAACCGCCTGGATATACTCTATAAATAAATAAATATATATATATATATATATATGAATTTGTTTAAGAAATATTACCATATTCCAATTACATGTTTCTTCCGTTTTTGTTTTTACCTTTCTCTTATTTGCAAAACGTTTGCTGGCACTTGTTAATTTACGCATTTCAGCTTTCTTTCTCTCTCTCTCTCTCTCTCTCTAGATGTAATTTTAGAACTAAAAATTTGGGAAAGAAAAATTATATTTAGAAAGACAACATAAGTACAGAAAAATCATACGCTTTTGGTTTTGGATCCATACATGAAGCAACAACTCTGGTGAAAAGAGAAACTCCAGGGGACCTGTCTCTTCAACCGGTGCGAAATGGAATCACAATCTGCATTGTTTGGAGTGCTCCCGTCAACAGATTCTAACACAGATTCTAAAGTAGCTTTAACGAATTCAGATTAACATTTAAGAAGGGGGATCAGTGAGTGAACTCACAGCGTATTTGCATCTGCACTAAGACTTCTTTGTCCCAAGCACGACTTCACCAGAAACATTCAAAACACGGATTAGAATAAGGAAATGAGATTAAGATATATTCAGCAAGTAATGTATTATGTAGGAACAACACTTACAGATCAAATATGGCTTTACATATTGGCCAAAGTCTTTGGATTGCATCTGCCACAGCTTCTGCATGATTAACATATCTGGAATTGATATTTACTAGCATGTTTAGCACATCTCAACAAAATAAAAAGAAATTGATCATACCTGTCTGAAGTAGTTGAGGATTTTGAGGATTTTGAAGCCTATCCATAACTACAATAAAGGACAAATTTTTATCCCCCAACAGTAGAATTACTCAGGTAGAAAAATAAAGCTCACAAGCATAAAATGAAAAGGAAAGAATTAAATAAGGGAGGTATATGGGTATATATTGCCAAACTCACATTGATCTTCAGAAGAGAATATTTAAAGATATTAGTATACATTTAAAGGGTATAGCCGAGCGGCTCGACTCTAGAAATAGAATATTTTAACTGTATCGCCGCGCGGCTATAATCCATAAATAGAATATTTTAACCGTATAGCCGAGCGGCTATACTCTATAAATAGAATTTGGATAGAATATTTTAACGGGGGCTATACTCTATAAATGGAATATTTTAAGTGTATAGCCGCTCGGCGACACTAGAGTATAGCCAGGCGCATATACTCTTTAAATAGAATATTTTAAAGGTATAGCCAGAATATTTTAAGAGTATAGCCGTTCGGCTATACACTTTAAATAGAATATTTTAACAATATAGCGGCGCGGCTATACCCTTTAAATTATACGAAAAACTTGTAGGCTTCTATTTCTCTCAGCTTCAATGGAAGATTCGTTGACAAACGAAATATACGAATCCCTGGAAGAGTAGAGTTACTATAGTCCATACTTGTTTACGCACGATCAAGTAGGCTGTAGTTCTTGAATGACTGACCTTTTGGTCAAGTTCACCTGAAGACTTCGCCGAAAATTGAATGTCATGGAGGCGATATAGTACTAGTGGGTGTGAAGCAACTTCCAATAATGCATGTATAATCAACATTGATTCATCTGAACCTGAATACCAACTAAAAACAAATAGATCAGAAACAGTTGTAGAGATGAAGTTCAAAATATTGTAGAAGTTTCTCGAACTGGATAAGCATTCAACAGCAATGTTGAACTTAATCTCTTGAACCGCTAGTTGTCAAAATCACTCTTATTTTTCAAAACAACTTCAAAGTGTTTCTTGTTTTTTGTTTTTTGCGTTCTTTTTTCATTCACTAATTTTACATCATTGCACATGAAACGCACTCCAGTTACCAAAACTCGATATTTGGGACCTCCTAACTTGGACATGGCCACTCGATTCTTGTGTTCAGCCACAGGACCTCCAAATCCAAAGTTCACCCAATCTAATTCTAAAAAAATTCATCAAAAAATTCAACGAACTCTTTGTAACATGCACTTCTTGGCTATTATTGATGATGTTAAGTATATTATTAATTTAAGATAAAACCAGAAAACAACCCAACACTTCTTGGCAAATGCTAAACTCAAGCTGAATTTGTTTATAGAAGAGAAAAATAATTTAAACACTGCCAAGCTTAATTAATCATTTAATTGCCATACTAGTCTGAGCCGTTGAGATGTCTACTAGTTCTCTTTTGTTGCAATTTGTTTTTTTCTTTGGAAAAATGGTGAATTGACTAATTGGCATGTTGTAGCATGTACCAACTTTTAATGGGACCGTATTTCTTATCAAATAAGCTACTAAATTTGGTCCACACCCCCACCCCCAAATATTAGGACTAGATTACAAGTTGATTAAGACTTACATGGGGTGGTTAAAAATAGATATTAAAAAAAAAAAAAAAAAAAAAAAAAAAAAAAAAAATGATACGTAATAATTTTGGTCTACGTAGTTGATTAATAAGAAATAGGATATCGAACTTAAGACCTCTTTCTACGTAGTTGGTCGTTATAGTTTGTAGATTTTTGTAATTTAACACACATGTAATTTACTAATTGTTGTAATATAACGATAATAGTTTAATTTCTTTGTTTTTATTTTTCAATGGAGTTGGCATGAGGGGGGTACACGTATGAAAGGTAACACTTAGTAAATTACATACTTTCAATCGCAAAACCAAAATTTCAGCAAATTTACTAGACAACTAATTGTCTCCATTTTGGGCCAATTCCAATTATACAGACTTAGCACTTGATGATCGGATATCTGACTGTGAAAGAAGAAAAACTATTTACCAGTGGGGCTGATGGTACTTTTGGACCACGGAGGCCAGGGTCAAGTCAAGTTCTCTCTAGTCTTTACTTTTAATTGGTCGGGCATGGTCAAAGTCTCAGAGATCAAATGTCTTTTTGGGCCTAGTAATAGTATAGCCCATAAATAGGGCATATGCTATCCTCAACGACAACATAAATACTTTCTTGTAACGGGAATAACACTGTTTTGCTATCATCAATCAATAATGCAATAATATGGAGAAAAGTTATCTCGTGTGTCATTGCACTATTGGTCGAAGATAGCAAAAAATATTATCCCTGTTGCATGAAAGTCTTTCTCCAACGACATGCCTCTAACAAATCCTCCTATTATGTTTAAGAATAAGAAGTTGCGTTCATTCATAAAGTTGAACTGTTGGCTGTTTATTTACTTGAAATAAAGGAAGTCATAAATCAGGAAAGTCGTGAATAGAGAAGAGAATGAATTGGTAAAGGATCAACTATTATGGATTGTAATGTAAAATTCGTATAATTTTTTTTATTTTTTAGGCCATCCCTAATGGGGGCCGTAAACGGGGTTCAACTTTGTGCAAAAAGACATCGCCAATGGAAGATATTTGGGGCCCTTATCATAAAGTCCCACTGAAGCTGTCTTTAAATTTGTGGACTCTGATAGAGCCCCTGGAGCCCAAATGGATCCAATATTTTCAAAAATCGCAGCAACCAAATAAAAGGCTTTGTCTACCCCTTTTGTTTTTTGTTTTTGTTTTTTTGGTTTGATATTTCCTTCTCTCTTTTTTTCTTTCTTTTTTGCTTTCAATTATTATGATTTACCTTTAGTGTTACTTTAACATCCCTCCCAAAAAGTTAATTTATTTTCCTATTTTTTTAAAGCAAAAGACGACTTTACCCTTAAGGTTTCTTAGTGGTTTAGGGTTGACTTTTTACTCCAGGCTAGTTTTGGAAAATTTCTCGGTTGAATAGCATAATGCTCGTGCTCACGAGTTCGTAGACATGTGGTGGGCCCAAATCGGAGTTGAAACGAAGATGTTTTGATCTACGGAAATGTAGTGGCACAACCGTAAATTTTTCAAAGTTGGAATTTAAAACCCAGCTGGCCAATCAGATTTCAGCACTTCTCTCTCTCTCTCTCTCTCTCTCTCTCTCTCTATCTCTATCTCTAGTGTGAGCAGTGGCAACACCACTTCCAATCACTTTTCCATCACCGTCCGGCCACGATTGGCGGCGCAACCTTCACGAAAATTGTTTCCCTCTTCCTCATCTACAAAACCCATCCAAGATCCACCCTTGAAACCCAGTAGATAGCCAGGATTTTGTATCCAAAAACCCGACCCAAAATAGTATCGTCGCCGGAAATTGCAACGGCTACGCCGGCTGTTTCCGGCCACCACTGACCGCTATTTTTGTCCCAAAACACTCATATCCTTCTTCAAAACCTAACTCGTAACCTTGCCGAATTGCTCAAATCACAGCCGGAAAATTCCTAGGTTTTCGGAAAGAAAAAACCTATCATTCGAGGCCTTTAACGACCAACTTCATCTTCGATGCAGGTATAAAACTTACTCCCCTTGTTGAGCTTAATCGTTTGGTATAAGGCTTGACCGGCGGTTTGGAGTTTTCTGGTCACCGAAAATTTCCTCAAGCCACCCACCACTACCGGCGACACATGGGCCACCCAATGATGGCCCACTTTGTCTTATAATTCTACCATTGTTGTCCCGAGCACGACAATATGTTCAGATTGGTGAGACTTCGTCGTTTGACCAACGATCGGAGTTTTGCCTATTAGGTACCGTTTGTTTGGGAACTAATGAACCGATCCTTTAGGGGTTCACCCACTTAGGATTCTGGGAAAACTAGAATTCACTCTTAAGTCCGGTTTGGAACTATTGTTTTACTGATGGTTGATATCTTTCAAATAGGTTCACAGATGCCACGTACCACTCCGAACGCACCTAATCAGGGTTGAGCATACTTGGACCCAAGGTGAGTGGACAGTTGTTTAATAAATGATTTTCTTGCTATGATGATTTTATTAAATGATTTACTTATGGTTTTTGCTTTCCAATTATATCGTTTATGATTTATTATTCGGTTTTGGTTTGAAATGATTTTAAATGTTTATGCATGTTGTTAAATAATGTTAGTTTGGAAAGTTGAGAATGGTTTGAGAATTGGATTTTAGAAAGGATTTGGGAATTAGTTTTATGACAAGTTCAAGAAAGGTTTTCAAATCCACCATAGGTACCTTAGTAGTTGCCTTTGGAAATATTGTTTTGTCTTTCGGAATATTGGTTGCCTTCGGATGTTATGATGTCTACGGATATCCCAGTCGCCTTTGAAAATTTAAAATGTCTTCGGACTACTTGGTTGCCTTCAGATGAGTCTACGCACATATGACATTGCCCCATGAGTATCGGGGACACCCGAACTGTGTAGTGCTAGGATTTGCATTTTGGGCTGACCTCGTATCCCCCGATTCTACTAGGATTTGCATCTCGGGCTGACTTCGTGTCCCCGATTCTGCTATGATTTGCGTCTCAGGCTGACCTAGTGTCCCCTGATTCTACTAGAATGTGCCACACATGTGGAGTGGTTAGTTCCACATATGTAGTACTTGGATTTGACGGATTATTATTGGAATTGACGGATTATATGGGGTACACCTAGGAGGAGAATATTTTCAGTTTGGAGTTGTTTTTTTTATTGAATTTGATGATTTTATCTCGGATTGTTTAAATTTTAGTTTTAAAGTTCATTGTTGATTTATCTCTTTATAAGAGTTATGTATTTATGAAATCTCGTCTTCCTATACGAATATATATATATATATATACATTGGAAGTTTGAATGGTTTTCGAAAAGGTTTTTAAACGGTGGGGTTAGTATGTTCGTATTATGTTTAATAACATTTATTTTTGTCCACTAACATCTTTACTGTTTTGCACCCCCAGGCAGTTGATAAGTACCGGACCACCACTTGAGGACATCTCTTCTTCTGCTACCCTTCCAAATTGTCC